CCCCCCTCAACCCCCCGCTTTTTTTGGGGGGGCAGCTTCTGAGCAAGCAAATCTTTGCAAGACTTAGCAAGAAGTAACGCTTAGCCGTCCTATTCGATGTTTTGCAGATGGGGATCTAAGAGTCCAAAAAAGATGACAGTTACAGGAAAACGAGAGGGGGGGGTCGAGCCAAACCTNNAGCCAAACCTTGGAAAAAAAATGGCGGAGCCAAACCTTGGAAAAAAAAACCCACCGAGAGCTTTGTGATTGGAGCTCGGATTAGGCTTCAGGGCCGCTTGGAGGTCAGGGTTTTAGGTGTAATGTCATCTAATTAATTGTCGAGGGAGAGTTTGCTATGGCTTTGGGGTTGAGCAGATGTTTGAGGCCTATAGCGTTCAGCTCTTTAGGCTTCTGCAAAGGCTCATGCACAGCGTGGATGGGAATTTCTAGCATCCGTCACGTGTTTCCTGCTTCCGTTGCATTCAATCGCCCCTTGTTTGTTGGACACCTCTGCTGCTGTATCCTACGCCTTTACCTGAAGATGGCGATGGCGATGGCTTTGGTCAGGCCTGTACTCCTAAAGTGGGATTACGGAACTCTGGGTTCATGGACGTTATGATTTGTGCCGCTATGGAACTCGGCTTGCATGCACCAAAATTTAGCAGACATGATTTGGAATTCAGAACTATAAAGATGTCCAAGCACGGCGATACAACCTGCATGGAGGTTACTGGGTAGCTCGAATCATCTCAATTCGACCACTCTTGCAGGAGACGCAATGAGGAGCACACTACACTCGTACACGGAGACTCTCAGGCTTTGATGAGATGTGAGCCCTCAACCATACCATAGAGTAGCATGCACAAGACCGGGACGTCATGTTGGCAGCAATACGCTTTAGACCTCTCACCCGTCTTAGTGTCCCGCCGCTAGGTTGTACTCCTGGGTTTTTTTGATCCTTTTCAAGAATTTTGGGGACCATATGAACTCAAATGAGGGTTATATTGAGCCCATATTCGGTGAGCCTTTGAGGGTATGACCGCAAGGGCACAACCCTCTGGTCAACGTCTTGCTTCAGCTGCATATACATATGTACATACAGATATCTAACACTGTTAACAGTAAGAGCAATAGCCATTACTATTTATAGTAGTAATAGTAACGAGTGAAAACCTGAATAAGTATGTGGTTGCAGAAGAAACACACACGTATGCATGCATATATATATATACATAGAAACATACACACAGGCTATATTATGGGGCTCGTCTTCAAGTCGTTCTAGCATGGCTCGGGCCAGGATTCCGTTGGATTTCTACCAGCTATCCCGCTCATACATCCACTCAAGGAGTGTGAGCTTTCGGCTTCAATTGGCCACCACTTCGCAAAGGAGCACCAATCGAACAACACCCATCCCTCCCCTTTGAAGCTACCTCTAGTTTTGGGAAACCCTAAACCCTTAAACCCTGTATAGCGATGCGTGTGTCTAAACCCTGTATAACCAATGAACTGCAGCCTTCGAAGCCGCGGCTCCTGAGCCAAGGACTTCAAGGGTGCGAACTACTTCCTCCGAAACGAGGGCAGCTGGGCTTGTCCATCGCACGCACGCTAAAGACCAATCACAACACGCGTATTAACAAAGTTATTTTTCGCAGTTGTGCAACAAGAGCTCTGGACTGCATGGACTTGCATATTCAGTTAAGATCGTTTTCAGACTTGGGGGTGTGGTCGCTTGGAAATCGAAAGGAGGGTGTTGTGTGGCTACCCGATTTGTTCATTATCAATGTAGTCCTGCATCAAATTCCGAGTCTGCAAGGCAAAGCTGAATCCCCGTCCCCATACCTTGAGCACGAAACAAACTACAACTCCACCTCCCCATGCTCCCCTTTGCTTCCTATACCCATTCACCAAAGCTTTAGCAATCACAAAACCCCAAAGAAATTGAGATAAGGCGTCTTCTTTGGAAATCTTTTCCACGTTGCAGACTCCCAAGCGCTGGAAGCAACACTTGCATATCAGAAAAGTCCCAGACAATGCGGTTCAGGCGTTTGCTCTCCAACCCTGAACCTTAAACCCCAAGCCTGGACCCCCAAACCTTGAGACCTTAAGCCTAAGCCCTGCCCCTAACACCTTAAATTAAACACTACACCCTATTGGACCAATAAACCTTCAAACTCATAAATACCTAATATTGTATGTTGATTAGCCCCCCCCCCCCGGCGTGAACAGAATAGGAAGGGCAGGGACCTCAGTAATAGGAGTGAGGGAAGTCAAGTGAATTGTTCAGTTCAGATGAGCTTCGTAGAGAATAGGAAGGGCTGGGTATTCGGTAATAGAGCACGGCTTTTGTATTCAAAGGCCTGGCTTTGAAAGGCCTCGACACGCAAAATGTGTGGTATTTTGTTGATGAAAGCGAAAATAGCAAAGAGAACAATAATGAAAACGATAAGGTCCAAAATTTGAAGCAGCGATAAGAGGAAGCTAATTATCTAAGGTATTTCTAAAACCAATGAAAATCTGATTGCACCAGCATTGAAAATCTAATCAGCACAACTACAATTCAATGAACGTCACGCAGAATTCAAATAAAACCGGTTGAAAACAGAGTAGAATGTCCTCGCTATTAACCCACACCAACAAAACTTTACAGAACTGAACACCCACGACCCCCCCCCCCAAAAAAAAAATGTATATATATATATATGTATGCGTATTGAGGATCCGGTGGTCTGCTGGACTACCTTCTTTGGAATTTGATTGTCTAGCCAGGTAATAGAGGCTGGCCTTTTCATTTAAGGGCCTGGGTTTTTAGAGCAGAGAGCATCTGGCCTCATGAGAAAGGATCCCCAGAATTTTTTCTGCAGAAAAGACTTTTTTGCCAATCCCCCAAATCGACCAGGAAGTCCAGAATCCCAAGCCCCGCGTTAATCAGGCTTCCACATTACAGAATGAGCTCCCGCACAAACCCCATCAATCAATCAACTCTGAATCTAAAGGTTGTGATCAACTCCCCAACCCCCAACACTCGAGCCTCTGCAGCCCAAAGCTCCTAACTCCCAAAAGCTCACGCCTCTAAAGCCCCAAAGCCCTGAGCCCCCAATCCTCCGAGGGGAGGGCGTAGCAGCCATCGACTGGCAGTGGACTGGTCCAGGGCTGGGTGCAACGGAAGCTGGGCTTCAAAGTGTGAAGCCATCAGGGTTTAGGGCCATTTAGGGTCTAGAGTTGTTTGCGGGGTTTAAGAAAAGTATAGCTACACCTAAGTACGTAAGCAAATAAGTATCAATGTTAGTGAATTTGGTAGGCTACATAATTTTCACAGATACTGTTCAGTCCGCAATGGAGCTTCTGAGTTCATGCCAGGGTCACAGGATCTGAAGAACCTGAAGCGGGCAAAGCCAATTTGCAGCAGGATTCCGTCAAGGGAGTCTCTCTGGGCCCAGGGGATCTCATTTCTAGGCTTTGGAGCCTGCTCTGAATTTCTCGTATGGTATATCTCAATGGCTCCTTTCCGTGGACTTGGGAGAAGCAAGTCAAACTACGCAGGCTAAGAGAAGGAGACATGAGATTACTGATTGCAGGGCAGGCGGTGGTGTTCGAGAGATTGTCTTGAGCGAGCCTCGTGCAGGTTTAGCTCTGCATGTTCGAATCCTGTCATGTAGTAATGTAGCAGTTCTGCAGGAGTGTGGAAACGATTTGTAAGTGGCGCCCATGCCACACGCGGCCTCAATGGTGTGCAAAAGCACGAACCCCAGTCGAAGCAAGTAGCTTTCTTCGGTCGCTTCTTTATGGCAGGCAACGTACAGCTTTTTGCGCAGGAATGGATTAGGCATATTGTTTGCGCCGCATCTTTTCTCAACGCCGCTCCAGAGATATCTTGAAGGGCCAGCCATGTTGGGAGGCGTCCCTTAAATCAAAAAGCCTCCTGCCAGGGGAGTGCAAGTTTGGTCGGCGATGAATCGCTTGATCGCGCTTTATAAACACTGCTGGAGTTCATGGCCTGGTTCTGCGAAATGGTGCATGAGACTTACCTTTGCGCTGGTCATGAGCAGTTTGGCAGGCCACTTGTGCTTTGTGGCCGGCCCTATGTTTGAGGCAACCACGAACCAGGCAGAGATTGAGCTGTTCGGCATCACACGCTTCATCTTAGTGATCCCACTAGCACTGTTCGTGCTATATCACTTCTTTGAGTCGGCGAAGCCCTCCCCTAACTACACAGCTTTGACGATGGCCCGAATATCAATTTTCGAGTTTGCCATCACGATCATTTACTACACAGTGATGGCAACAAACGCTGGGCTAGTTGCGCAAAATGTTCGTTCCTATGATTTGCGCCCAGTTTACCTGCCTCGCTGGTACGGATGGACGCTTGCCATCCCGACTTTGCTGTGTATGAATTATCGCCCGATGCTTGATGACCGCTCCTTTATGCACGTTGTCAAGCGCACCTTCCCACAGCAAGCAGCAAGTGCCGGACCATGGGTTCAGATAGACCGTAGTTTTCATTTGTTGTTTTTTTGTGTGTTGTGTTTGTCTTGTGTGGTATACACATGTAGACGCTGATCTTTGGAAAAGCACCTATATTTGCCGAGGATATTGCTGGGCCGCTTACATGGGTTGCGTGATCACGGATGCCTGGTATGGATGGTATCTCAACACGTTGGCAATTGTGGCTTACTTAGCCGTTGTTGTCGACACCGTGGTGCTGACGGCAGAGCGAATTGTGTACACCAGTCAGCCTATTTTGAAAGGCTACAGCGTCATCATCAAAGAATGTGTTTTCGTCATATACGCATGTGTCTGGCTCATGGGCAACTGGGGCTATGCCAGCTCCTATGCCTGCCAAAGGTTTTATGCAGTCTCCGATGTTAGCCTGAAGTCGACCATGGCCTTTTTGATGTTCTTTTTCTGGGCCAACGAGGAGGCAGACACCACTCAGAAGGTGGCAGATGTCAACAAGGACAAGACAAGTTGAGCGGGAGACTAGTGAGGAATGGGGCCGGCGGGCCTTCCCTCTTGTGCCACAGCAATCCCAGCCCGACCGACATCAGATTTGAAAGCGGGATCCTGCATTCCCAAGTGGAGAAAAGGCTGCTGCCACAAACTTCCCTATTCTTGGAATCACATGTGCATTTACTACCATTTGGTGTTAGCACTTTTGCAAGAAGTCTGATCCAAAACCCCTGCCGGTCCCTGCACTTCGCCGCCTCAGGATCTGATCTACCTCTTCTGCGGGAGCGTGGAGGCTTCAGAGCCCCTTCGTTTGCCGGTCTCAAACTGTTCCAATATTTGGAACATTGGAGGCTTGCTTTAGGCGTTTCAAGGGATTCACGTAAGGATTTTGGTGTAGTTCATTATAGCTGGACTTTGCGCGGAGATTTTTTGGATCTTGCGGAAGTGCAGGGAAGCGTCCAGGCAGTAAGGGCTTCCTGTAACGTTCCTCTCCCGAGGATTGGCAAGAGTTGCGGAACTTCCTGGCAGGCGTTGATGTTCGGGAATTGTTGCTAGCCAGTCCAAAGGATATGCTGGGGATGGGAAGGTATCCAATGAGCCTGAGATAGGGCTCTGGTATTCTAAGCCGCTGCTTCTTCGGGCCCACTTCCTACACCCTAACCCCTGAGTCCCTAAGTAATGTGGCACCCGCTTTAGTG